CACGTCAAGTATAGAATGCAATTAATTAAAAATAAACTCCACACAGCGGGAGAACTGATTAGATACACATCGACAAAAGTGCCTCACAACCATTTTCGGAGCGTCCGAAGAAACTGGGTTATCAAGCGAAGTTGAAAATGAAATCCAGTATAAAGCCTGGCAAGCTCGGAGCTCCGGAAAACCAGTGGGCGGCTGTTTGTTATCTTTTATGCCCGCGTGCTCGCGGCACACGAAGGAACGCGGCTCTCTCTTCTCGCGTGAATTTTAAAGCCCGCGAGGCAATCCAGGCGTAAACTGTCGAATTGCCCGAGCAAAGTGAGACACGACGCAGAACCACCGTCGGACAAACACATAGGCGCGTATACTCGCGTCTCGACAATCGAGTTTACGTCGGTAGTTGGCCCGATTTCCTTTCTTGCATAATTAATGCTCGGCTGCCATTAGCGTGTTTTCGTCGATAACAAATCGATTTTGCCGCTTCTACGCGAATATTTACAAAGGGTGAAAATCGAGAGTGCCGACGTGGTCTGCGAAAGTTGTATCTTTGTAGTGGCTTTCGAAAGTCCGTTGACTTTCGAATAAATGTCATGATTAAGTAATTATATATTTTAAATTTTGTTGAGATTCGGTTTTATACAACTTCAAAGTACGATGTCGTTGTGAATTTCGATAATAAATGGATCCGCTTGTGTGGATTGTTAATGAGATAAGAACATTATGCACTCGTATATATAATCTCCGTGTCATTGCACGCGGAAAACCAATGTCGAATGAATTCACGTTGTCAAAGTAATTCTTTAGCTTCAAAATTGTAGGTTTAGATCAATTAGCGTGCAACTGCGTTCTAATAATTTCAATAGAGCAACATACAGTTTTTCGTAAATAGTGAACTCGGGTAAGTGCATTGGACGCGCGGGAGACACGTGTAAATTACGATAAAGGGGTTCGATGTCTCATCACGACTTTACGCAAAAATATTTTTTCCGATAATACATTGTCATCTCGAAATTTATTATTCGATGGAAATCAATTATTTTCATGGACAATATTATTTTTCAAAGTCTGTAACCTGCAATGATGTTCACGGAAATGTACCACGCGACGCTTTGTAAAGAATATTTTTTCAAGTCGTAATTGGAGATTAGTTTCCTACATGTGTTGATAATTTTCGTCATTTAATTAACGTCACGAAATTTGTATAAATTAGGAAATGGGAACATTATCCGCCGGGATGAGGGTAGCTCAAACGAGATTGTCTCTTTTTTCCCACTGCCTTGCGAGTGTCAAGCTCGTCACACGGAAAATGCCTTCCTTGCATCTCCGCGAGTCGAAAATAAATTCTTCGCTGCGAACGCGTATTGCACCTACTTTCTCCGAAAACTTACTTCTGATGCTCGTAAAAAAGCTCACTTGTCAAGACAATCCTTCGAGAAAAGAGATCGTCCGTAACGTCTATTCATTCACCGATTGTAGCTTGCAATAAAAAACACTCGGCAAGCTTAGAAATGTTGATTCAACTTTCAAGATAAAATAATGAAAGTCGGAAACATTAATTTTTCGTCTACGGAGCGCATATAAGAAGCCTCGTTTTTCTCTCGAAGACAGCCAGGAAATGATCCGACGTAACGAGGTGCGCCGTGAAAAAAGATAAACAGGGATGGCCGCAGGTTCTTCAACGTCGCGCGCACACAGCGAGAGGTTTATTGTTGTTGGCTTGAGACGAAAGAGAAGGGGGAGGGTATCGACATGTGCTCCATTTAACGTTTTTCATTAAAGCCCGCGTTGGGCTAGGCCAAGGCGAGCGGTTTGTTTTCCAAGGTGTTCCAAGTTTTCCAAGATATACGCCGCGACGTAAAATCAGGCAGAAGAAAATCGCTAGCTGCCGAGATGTTTATTACGTCGAAGTGGGTCTGCAGCGTCAGTAGTGCGATTACGTTCCGAGTGAATGTTGTTGTTCCAATGCGAAATTACCAAAGAGGCACTGATTGATTGCACAATGGACGATAAAAGCACCCGCGCGCGTCCGTTGTGCCTTGCACAATCAGGCCCAACAAAGCCGTTCGAGGGCGGAAAGAGAGCGAGCGAAAGCGCCGAGCGACGAGACAATTAAACTCCGTCCGAAAGTTCGATAGGCCGGGCGAGACTCTGTATCTTGCTGGCGCAGCTCGCGCGTCGGCGTTATAATACAGCCCGGGGCGATTTTGCGCGACGGCAAATTGAAACTCGCGGCGCGCGGCGTCCGCCGGCTGGCGCATTTAAATGAAAATTAGGCGCGTCTTGCTGGCGCGCCGCGTCGATCTGCTCTCTTTCGCGAGGCCTCGCGATGAATATTCATGCGTCGGATGCGCGCTGCGAGGGGGGGGGGGGGGGATTTCAACTCGTTAACTCGGGACCGACAAAGTTTTTCAGTGGGATGTGCGCGCGGAGGGTGGCGCGCGAAGTAGCAGTCGAGGTAAATATGCCGGGGGTAATTATATATGCCTTGCGCCGCCGCGCGGATATCGCGCCGAGGAAGCTTGCGCGTAGTATCGCGCGAGTTTCAGGCTATTTGAATTTTCTAATTGAAATTGCGCTCACGCGGCAAACTTGCCGGTTCTCGGAAGCAAATTACGTATTGCTGTCGATGGCGCTGCTCTGAGAATAATTCCGATAGCGCCCGCTTTCGCGCAATATTCGTGAAATGACGAATAAGACTTGCGGTAAAAATCATTTCCGTATAGTGCCTATTTAAATTTTCATCTGTAGATAAAATCGTCAATCGTAAACAAAGCTACGAATCTACAATAAGTACAATGTGAAAGAAGGGAAATAGTTAGAGATGGAAATTCACTTAATTTTAATTATATTTAGCAACGTTTCGTCAGCACATTTAAAGGCATAGAATTATATGTATATGCGTGTGTACCTGATTTCTCTCGTAGTCAAATTATTATAGGCTAAAACGAATAGCTCGTAGCCAGTCACGTTACAATACAGTAAAAAATCAAGTATTTCAACACACACACACACACACACACACACACACACACACACACACACACACACACACACACACACACACACACACACACACACACATACACACACACACACACACATATATATATATATATTCTTCATCTATCACCCCTTCCTCATCGATCTTAATAAAGGCTTATAAATATAACTAAGATATTGTATATCCTTTTTTGTATTTAAAGTGTTTATATGTAAGCCGATGTGCAACATTTCGGATATTCTGCGTTTCTGATAACTCTTTTCATAATCTTAGCTTTGTCCCAGTCAAATTCATGTGAGAGAGTTCTTCTATGTGTAGCTACTAAAATTAAATTAAATGAACTCACTAAAAATGATATTAAATGAAATTACTAAAAATTAGATTAAATGAACACAAAAAAAAACATTGACTCAGATACAGTAGTAGCTACACATAGAAGAATTCTCTCACACGAATTTGACTGGAACAAAGCTAAGATATTGGATTATGAAAAAATTATAAGAAACGCAGAATATCCGAAATGTTGCACATCGGCTTTCATATAAACACTAAATAGAAAAGAACAATATCTTAGTTATATTTTTAAGTCTTTATTAAGATCGATGAGAAAGGGATGATAGGTGAAGAATATAATACGTTGCTGAATATAATTAAAATTAAGTGATTTTCCATCTCTCACTATTTCCCTTCTTTCCATTATTACAAAATTTATCATTTAGGAAATAACGCTATTTGCACTACATATGAGCGTGACACAATTGGACGTTAGCAACTACTATCAATGATTATTAAGAGCTTGCGAGCGCCATCCAAAAAGGCTTTTTGAGACGAAAGCTGATTTTCTAAAAATATCAACTACATCATTCGTAATAAAAATAGATGGCTTGATCGACATAACAGCACAAACGAAAGGATGTATTTGTTATTTCATAGTTGAATCTCAAAATAAAGCAATAGAAGAGAAGCTTTGAGTCGTAATGAAGCAATCGACGGGCAAATGTCGACGTGAAATCATGCGCTCGATCCCGAAACGGTACGAAAGCGATATCACGAAGTCAGAAGGAATCAAGGTTATCAAAACGAATATAACGGAAAAAAAGAGAAGCAGCGGGCACACATCGAGCTCGCCATTGGAATTCATCATCCGGTCTCGGGCGCATAACGAGTATGGTTACGTATACGAGCGAGAATTGATTGGTCTGCGAGGCGGTTGGAGTGCGCGTGCGACTGTCACGGGATATAAGAGAGGATGATTAGACGATTACTTTGTCCGGCGATGGGCGATCTATCCAAACAATGCCTTCGGAATTCCCAAAGTCTGCTCTGAGTGGAGTGCCGGTGAGCTTGCCGACGGTCGCTGCTGCTGCTGCTGCTTCTGCTGCTCGATGGCAAGATGGAGGTGTCCTCGAGTGTTTTCGCAAGGCGGGAGTCGGACCCTTGGAAAAACAGACGCCAAATTGAATCCCCTTCTTGCCCCCCTTCCTTTTTCCGTCTCTCAAAAAGCTTCTCTCGCTCTCCTTCTTTGACCTTTTCACTCTCTCTCTCTCTCTCTCTCTCTCTCTCTCTCTCTCTCTCTCTCTCTCTCTCTCTTTTTCCGCGATTCCACGAGGGCTCTGTCCAATTTCTTTTCTTTTTTTTCTTTTCGCGCTTCCTCCCTTCCGATATTTCTATCGAATTCCAAGCGCTATTTTTACGAGCCATTGTCGTCGCCGAGCTTTTGTCGCGCATTTCAGAACGACAGATTTTAATCGAGCCAAGGATCTTTCACGTTCGCATCGCTCCCGCAGGAGCTGTCACGCACTGCAGCTCGCCGAGTCGTAATCGCTGGGCAATCGCGCGAGGAGCCGATGCCCGTCGTCGAACCAAAAACCAAGTGGACGCGACGCGAAGGCGAACGATCCGGGCCGATTTCGTTCGATCGCGATCCGCGCGCCGGCACGACGACGCAATCTAGGAGCCCGGAACGCTAGCCCCGGTGTCCGAATCTCGCGCGCTCCTCGACTCCTGAAAAGAAGAAAGAGCGAGCTCGCGAGCGCCACGCCGCTCTCCTGGGCGCGTTGGCGCGCTGCTCGGCGCGGGGGTGTGTCGACGCGTCGCGATTGGCCGGCAAGCGAGCCGCAGCTGGGCCAATGATGCGAGCAGCTTCCCCACCGCGGCGCCGGCCGTGCGAACGGGAAAAGGTGGCGCGTCGCGGCCGCGAAAGAGAAAAACATCTCCGGCGCGGTCGCGAGGGCCTGGCGCAGCCGCGTGCTCGCCGCCAACGTCAGTTTAGTGTCGGCTCGGAGCTGAGAACGGTGTGGTATAGGCGCGCCGCTGCTCTCCGCGAGCGCGTTTCTCATTTGAGCGGTCGTTCGAGCATCGATTCGTCTGGAGTAAGCGAGGTGATGACCTCGCAGTGGTGTTGTTAGAGTGCGACTGTCGTGCGTTGGAGAAGAGAGAAAAAATAAAGAACAGAAAGAAGAGGAAGAAGAAGAAGAAGAAGAGGAAGAGGAAGAGGAAGAAAAGGAAGAAGAAGAAAAGGGCTGGCAGCAGGACTCGCCGCAAGATGCACACGTTGTTCGGCGAGCAAAACGCCTACTACAGACACACGAGCGCAGTGCCGATGGGCATGGGTACGCCGACGTATCCGAGTGTCGGCGCGGCGCCCGGCTACTACGAGGCGCAATTCCGCTACGGTGGCTACGCCACGGCGGCCGGCTACCCGGTGACGGGGATCAGCCAGCAACACATACATCACCCCGGCAAAGACATGGTGAAGCCGCCGTACTCTTACATCGCGCTGATCACGATGGCGATACAGAACGCGCCCGACAAAAAGATCACGCTGAACGGCATCTATCAGTTCATCATGGAAAGATTTCCGTACTATCGCGAGAATAAGCAGGGCTGGCAGAATTCGATCAGGCACAACTTGAGCTTGAACGAGTGCTTTGTGAAAGTGCCGAGGGACGATAAGAAGCCAGGTAAGGGTAGTTACTGGTCGCTCGATCCCGATAGTTACAACATGTTCGACAATGGCTCTTATCTGCGACGTAGGCGGCGCTTCAAGAAGCAAGACGCCCTGAAGGAGAAAGAAGAGGCGATGAAGCGCCAGGGCTTGATCCCCGCCCAGAAATCGTCGCGCGTCGACGTCGACGTCAAGTCGTCGCAGCACCTGGCCAACAGCAACGACATCGCCGGTAAGAAATTGCACCTGGAGCAGCAGAGCTCGCTGTGCAAGCCCAAGCGCGAGCCCATGAACGACCCGGCGGCGCACTGCATGGTCGCCGGCAGCAAGTACAGCCCGCTGCACGCGGACAAGACGGCGCCGAGCAACGGCGGCGTGATTCAGGCCTCCCTGCAGCCGCCGATGCAAGACATGGCGGCGCTCGACCCGGCCGCCTTCAGCGTCGACGCGCTCATGACGAGCAACCGCGAGCAGCCGAACAACGCTCACTTGATGGGCAGCCAGCCGCCGCCGCCGCCCCCGCCGCCGCCGCAACAGCACCATCAGCAGCATCAGCATTCGATTCAGCAGCACGGCATTATGACCACGAGGACCGAGCCGGCGATAGGCAGCGTCGCCGTCGGCAACACAACGGCCGTCAGTACTTCCACCACCGCTGCCGTCGCTGCCATGATGGCCTCTACCGGTTACGGTCACGTTACTACCAGCAGCATCGCCAGGACCAATTCTTCGCCTACTTCCAATATGTATCCAGCTTATTGCCCGTCGGGCTACATTATGGATCACACCGAATATAATACGACCGCGAGGACGCATAACAATGTTGGACATGCACAGTGGTATCAAGAGGCAGCTAGTCCTGATACTGCCGCTATGTATCAGGACACGCAGTCGCCGAGTTGCCAGTTGTACAGGTCAGTCTCGTTCCTCCACTGTTCTCGCGATCGGATCGTCGCATTCGCCTGTACGTACGTCGCGATGCCTGTCAAGCCGTAGAAATCGCCTAAATTATCAATCGAGTTCGTCATCTCGGAATCCACACGCGCAAAGCGTGCAATTATCTGCTGATCGTCGATGACTTTGCGCTATCGTGATGGTAATTAGCGACGAGATATACGTGTAATTCGTCAAGTCCAAGTATCAATCGAACTGTAGATGTCCGCAGTTGCACCGCGCGCGCAATTAATTACGATCGAAGGATGCGTGTCGACGCGTTGCCTTTTTTCTGTCTCTCTTTCTCTCTTTATACCTCACCCTCGGCAGAAGAGGCATCGCGCGGTGGCAATAACTTTTCTTTTTTCGCCGCCTCGCGCGTTCCCCCAGTGTCGTCCACGTCGTACGAGCGTCGCGTCGATTGACGAAACGCGCGTAATTTTAGCGGCGGCAATGAAATTCTTTCGCGGTTACACCCTTGCGGATGATGCTCTGGCTCGAGATATAATCAAATTCGCGAGCTCTCTATCTCTCTGTCCCCGTTGTTTCGCTTGAATTTCGCGCGCGCGCTGCCGCGTGAATTGTTTGGACAATCAGACATCGAAAATCATTAGAGCAATAAAAGCGGCAATATCGGTCTCGATGGATACGCGCGTTGCGCGAGGACTTTTTAACGTGAATTCCGCGTCTAAATAAAGGCAAATATTAAAACAGCTTGCTTACGATAATAATGAAGGTTGTGCTCGTTCGCCCGAATGATTTGTTTTGCCGCCGCTGCAGCTGTACTCGCGCTGCTTTTCCACGAGCGCACCATGCACTAGTTGGCATTTCAATTTTTTTCAATCTGCTTAACGATGATAATTTTCGCGTACGCTTTATCGATTGGGCGTCGCCGATGCTCGTTTGTCATTCGGCAATGGCACTGACCGTAGGATCGTCGGGACAGCAGAGCGCGAGTAGCATCGAACTAAGTGGCGAGAAATTGGTGATGGTTGCAGGTCGAGTCCACCGACGCCTCTGTCGTCGGGCGCAGCGCCGTCGCCGCCACTGTACCACCGCTACTATCAAGACTGCAACGCGGTGAACACGAGCGGCAATTTGCCGATAACGCTGCACAAATACTGAGAATACCGAAATTCAAGGTCTCAGCATCAGCAGCAGCGAGACCTTGAACAACAGCAGCAGCAGCAACAGCAGCAACAGCAGCAGCAGCAGCAGCAGCAGCAGCAGCAGCAACAGACTGTTGTCGCGGCGACGAGCTACGATCCGAATCTCGTTTACATCAAACAGGAATGGATACCGGCCGCGGACGACTTCGCCAAGGACTGGAACTGAATTCCAATTTTCTATGGCCTCGACTGTGAGAGACTTTTGTGCTATACTTCCTCGCTTCTTCCTTCTCTCCGTTTTGGCTTTTTATTCGTGGCAGCACGTTCTCTTGTACATATAAAATCATGGATTGTCTTGTATCGTAAGCTTTTGTAAATATTAGGGTTAGAACTTGTGCAAGTGCGACACAGTAGCCAGCAACAAGTGGAAGTAACAATGTTTTCATCATTCAAGATGCAATGTTTATCTTATCGGGGTTAGAAGAGCGTGTATGCAAACTGCGGCCAGTAGCGCTTAAAACTTTTATACAAATATAAGATATAAGTGTTTTTCTGTTTCTTTTTCATTTTCTCTTTTTTTTTTTACCAAGTTCCGATTTATATCGAACGGCTTTTTCATTGCCAACTTTTACTTGTTACTTGTTCGATCCGGTATCTGTTTAATCGAGAGGCATCGAGGGAAGGTTCGCGGAAAATTGCCGACGAGACAGCTTCTCTTCGGATGAGATTTCGGGCCAGATGAAAAGAGGCGGCGGCCGTGACCGGAGCCAAGGCCAAAAGTGAACTCATTAATTCAAGTTTGGCTAAAACTTTTCCCGAGGCGCATCTGTGCAAACTTGCACGATTGAACGGTTCGCGGGCGCAAAGAGCTCGAAAGCAATCGGCTCTTTGCCAATCGGTTGCACCGTCTGCGCCGCTGCGGACGAATGAAAGTCAGACTTTTCCGTTTACTCCTCGTTGTATTATCGGCACAACAATGTTGTTGTCCTTTTGCCGGTCGCGATAAGACGCGACGAGTCGCAGCCGAGTCGAGAAATACAAGTGAGGCGCGCGAAAGGGTTATTGCACTTTCCATGTTTTTCTACCTTTGGCGCGGGCATCCATTTGAATAATCGACTTCACGTGATAACAAACACCTCTAGATAATACATATACTTGAAGTCAGTAGTGTGGAGCAAGTAAGTTGTTTTCCTGTCTTTGCTTGCAAAAGAATTGTAAATTAATTGTGACACTGAATTGTTGCATGGTACATTTCGATACGAGGTGTCATCAAAGATGTGTATAATATAATTGTAAACTATGATAAAAATGAGAATCAAAATGAAATCGTAATAGGGTGTATAACTCGAACCACGTGCATTTATAACAAAAAGAGCTGAGATATATATATATTTATTGATATTGTAGCGCGACGAAAAGAATAATTGACAAGTGACAAAAGAAAATACAATAGTGTGAATAGATAAGGACAAGTAGGCTGAATACATGTATACATAATTAAATATCAGTTAATCGCAGGCGCGTATGCATCACTGCTTTTGGCGCTGCCTCGGTTATGTGCTGCGAATCAGGTCTGGACAGAGAAGCGAAAAGAAGTTGACGTATCTTTGACTGGACGTTCGCGGATAGGGAAAGCGTCGCGGGGCGCAACAAGGGGACATGTGTGTGGGCGCACGCAGACGAATGACAAATGATACGGGGCACTCGTTCGGAGACGATGACAACGAGACAGTCGTTTCCGTGCCGCTCCGTTCTCTTCTTCTTTATCCGTATTTAATAATGACAATAAGCGCAAATATCGCGTGACTACGGAATTCGCCGGCTGATAAAATAGCTTGAAATCCGTGAAAAAGAAATGAATCACGAGAGAAACCCGTCACGAGAAAAAATCAACGAAGGAGAATACGTCAATTTTACATTCGGCATTTATATTCCAGTGCATATTGAGTTGTCGAGTATAAGGAGGACGTTGGGGAGAGAAGAACGCCCGACAGCTTTTGATGCACGAAAAAATGATCGGCGCGTGAATCGAAAACGTACTGTCATCGAGTTTAGTCAAAGGTGCGATATTGTTCTGCTTCTTTTTCTTCCTCCTTTCAGACTCGAAAGTAGTTAGATCTCTGTGTGTATATTATAAACGAAAAAAAATAAATAAATAAAACATCAGCGAATGAAAAAAAACTGCAAAATAACTATTAATAGAGAGCATTGTATAGCGAATATATATCACGATTGAATATTATAAAGATTATTATTAATATTATTATTGAATAGAAATCAAGAAATAGACCGATATATATATATATATATATACATATATATATATGAAGCTCGGAATTTGACGAAAATTTCCGAGGTTATGAGCGTTATTATTATTATTGTAATATTCGTCGACGTAAACATGCATATATTAGGAAATGTTCAAAAAATAATAAATATATTATCGATCAAAAAAATTTAAAAAAAACACTTCTTTTCATTGTCCCACACAGTTTTTTCCACGAGTAGAAAAAAAGTGATCTAGAGTAGTCCGAACAAGCGTGAAAAAGAGAATAAAAGAGCCACTGAAGGGGGCAGCTCGACTTTATGCACAATAAGTGTATAACGATATCGAGTTGACAAACGTTTGAATGCTTGCTGCTGCTGTGGATAATAAACGCGAGCGGGGGTTTGTCGGAGCTGCTGCAGGGTTCGAAGTAATCGGCCTGAACAATGGGTCAAGGCGAGACTCTCTCGCTCTTTCATCCCAAGCACGTGTTTTGGCAGATGCACCGTGGTGAGTTAAATCCCAAATCTCGCCCCGAGCTACACGTAGCAAATGAGCTACATTGCGAACGGACCTTTAGCTCATTGTCAAAAGCCAATACTTAATGCAAAATCCAACATTTACACGAGGTTTCCATTTGTAGCACAGCTACCTAGTGCTACGCGCGAAAAGAGCCGGCATCGTGTGCTTTTCAATTTCATTGACGCCAAATTCTTGTTTTGACGATGACGATTTTGTTTCAAATTTCAATCGAGGCTCATGAATATTCCGAGAGCACTCGCGGTGGCAATTACTACGCGGTTAATGGCGAAAAACTCTCTAAAAATTCACGAGATAATGAATTAATGAGTGCCCACTCGACGTTCACCACGACGCAGCTGCACGCAATTGCGCGCGCAACTCGAATCGCTAATTTGGTTTTGCCGTGAATCGGAATTCGGAATGTTTTTCATGCAAATATTGCTCAGATCCATATTGTTACACCGAACTTCTGGAAATTTCAATTGCAGAATTAAACTCCTCTTACAGTATTCTTTGATCAAACTGCTGACTCAAGATTATTGACTTTACACGTCAGAAATTTAAAATGCCTTCCAAGCAACGCTAGTTTCAAAGAGATTATCCATCAAATCGGGAATACAATTTCGACATTCAAATTGTTCACTTTACAATTGCAGCTCAATTACCCAGCCACCTTAATTGATACATCTTACTACGAGAAATAAGCTAAACGTCAAGCTTTCAATATTTATTCAATATAAAATAACATCGTGAAAACACTTCATCTGAAAATTCAAATAACATAAAAAAAGTAGAAAGAAAAAAAAAGAAAAGCATCACATTTAGTTTCCCGGAAAAGTTGGTTACACACACGCACACACATGTACACACACATTGAAAGCTACAACCTAAAAATAAATTTTCACTAACTTCCGCTCCGAATCGACTGCATAGCGGGGAACATAGTTTACGAAGAGCAAAAAAAAAGGTGTAGCAGAGAGAGAGAGAGAGAGAGAGAGAGAGAGAGAGAGAGAGAGAGATGTGCGTGCAACCGAAAACAAAATGTCTGTGCAAGATTGTTTGCCTGACTGGTCGAGATTCCGCAGAAGTGCCCCGGCGCACCCAGCGTATAATCAACAGTTGGGACAACGATTTTCTCGACACTGCGAGCATTTCTTTGACAATCATCGGATCTCCTACCTCAGAGATGCAGCATTTTTCTGCTTACGTCGGTGGCTGCTCTGAACAATAGCTCTATGTTCACGTTGCTTAATTGTTTTTTTTTTCGCATTTTCTCTTAGTTACTTTAAAAGGAAAATGGGAATTCACGTGGAATGTCAAACGTGCCATTGACCTCATATTTTATAAAAGATAATCAACTTATTGACTTATTGATTAAAAATTCAATTGAACGTGCACACTTATGAAACTAATTAGTCGCACAAACATTATATTCGAGTAACAAAGTTGGACTAAAATTTTGCTTTGGCTACGAACACTGTACGCATTGGCATCGATAATAATAGTAAAAATAATCAGCTACAACTAAACATTCACAACACGATCGAATTTTAATACATTTGCCCGATATACTTAGCATAGTCAAGAAGTTTGCACGTGCATCTATATCTCGATCGCATCGCTGGTTAGCTGGGGGAGTGTAAAAAGTTATGTCTCCCCCTCTCGTCTTTTGTGCTACGGCAAACACACTCGGTGCTATCCTTTCTAATCGCCGGACAAATAACTGAAAATCGCTGGCTGTCGGGTCGTGTACGTTGGCTTGCCGTGTGTGCTCAAAGTCTTTTTGTGCACCTTGCACTTGACGCGCGGGGCTTTTGATGAATTCATCCTCCCTGCCTTACAATTGGAATGTCACCATGCTCCTTTTTAAATCTAACTTGTAATTGTAACTTTCTGCTTGTAGTTCGTTGAAATTAGAATTGAACGGGAGAAAAAAAAACATTGCCAGACACTCGTGAAAGGCAATGCAAAGTGCTCCCAAACAAAAAAACGAGTTTAGCGATGAGTCATTGAAGCAAAAAAGAGCGAGATATCATTACGCGGGCGACAAGAAAAAAAAAACTTTCAAAGGCAGGCTTTCTCGAGATCTGATGAAAAAGATGGCTATTATTTTCCTTAATATTCTTATTATTAGTTCATTGAGACTTTATTGGATCAAATATCTTTTATTCAATTTGAATTTTGAGCTTTTATGGAATTGTTCGCAGAAAATAAATTTGAACACTCATCGATTTCACATATACAGTAAAGTATTTTCCGAAGCAAGTAACAATGAAAACATCACAGTAACGTCACGAATACGATGGCTATTATAGTCCAATCGTAGTTGAAGGCTAAAAGTGCAGAGTGGTCTTCGTATCTGTAAGTTTCAGCCATCG